GTCAGGGGTGTGTGTGTGTAGGTGTGTGTGTCAGGTGTGTGTGGGGTGTGTGTGTGTGTGTGTAGGGGTGTGTCTCAGGGTGTGTGTGTGTGTGTGTGTGTGTGTGTTCTCTCTTACACACCCAACAAGGCTGACCGTCTCCCTTCACCTCTAGTTACCATATATTCAGCGACCAGAACATAGCGAGGCTCACCAGCTGCTGTCAGACGCCACTAAACAATAAAAGATTAATTATCTCTTCAGGTGTTTATGTGCTACAGCGACAGGCAGGTGAAGCTAGTGATCACACCTGTTTTAAAAATATACAGGGTGTTCATAAATGATTACCCTGATTAAAGAATGGTCTACCACTGTGTTTAGGGTAATCATTTATGGACACCCTGTATTTTTCTCGTTCTCTAAATTTTGTTAATTTATTTTTCCACCATTATAGTTGTGTTTGTATTTATCTTTATTTATATTTTTATATCTTATCTCTATTTAGTAGTTGTTAATGTTTTCTAATATTAATCTAGTTCCTTGTATCTCTGTGTGTCTCTCTTTCTCTCTTTGTCTCTCTGTCTCTCTGTCTCTATCTCTATCTGGATACTATATGCGATGTAGTGTGTATTAGATAATTTGCTCCTAAGGGCAAGAGGAGGAGTGTGTGCGTGTGTGTGTGTGTGTGTGTGTGTGTGTGATGCTGCCGGGGTTGCCTGATATATCTATAGGTGCGGTTAATGAAAACATCGATTTATGTTACACAAGGGAGAACTATTTAACTTTTTTAAACGCTTTAAAACCTAATTTGTTAGACAAAGGTGTTTACAAGGGCCTCCACTTAAATCTTAATTAGATACTAAATTGACTTGGTTAAGGCGTGAGTGCGAGCGGTGAGCCATAGGACGGAATGTAAGCCTGGTCACTTGCTAACACAATATTATCACGCTCAAAATACCTAAGTGTGTGTTCCAGGAGATGTAAACAGTTTAAGTCACTACCACAACTCTCTACCGTTCACCTACAGTGTGGTATGATCTTTTACACCTCCCCCCCCCACCCAACACACACACACACACTAGGAGGAAGGTGCTTATGAAAACTGGTGGAGTCTAACCCAAGCATGAACCACCACCACCACACAGTGTACTTGAGCAACACTTTCCTGGCCACCACACAGTGTACCTAGGCGACACTTTCCTGGCCAGTGTGGTAGTGACAGTGGCCAGCTCACCCCAGGACAGCATGGCGATACACGGTCCACTCCTCCCACGCTGAATCAACCAACACGACCCTCGCTCCCTTGGCTGAGACGTGACGAGGCAAACATTAAGGTTGTCAACTTTGGCTGTCAACTTTGGCTGCCTACTACGGCACAGCCTCCCACAATGATATAAAACTCGTACAACCAAAAGAGAAATGTGAGAAAATAAGACGAAAAAGATCGATAAGAGAACTAAAGAATGGTCGCTAGTCTTCGTAGAGAGGAAACTAAATAATCGCAGAAGAAATATTTATGGAGTCATTTAATAGTGTGATGATGAGCATCTTCCAAGTGGAAAGTTTTATGAAGCACTTAATGAGGCTGTGTGTGTGTGTGGTGAAAAAGAGAGGTGATCATCTTACTGAACCAGCAGTGAAAAATAATTTCTCTAGCAGGAAATACACCTTGAAAACCTGCAGCGAAAAACAGACTCGAGACTTAAATTATCTAAATTTGTGGACGTGTTGCTGACGACTCAAGTGTGACGTCTACAGGCAGGTGGTGGACACAGCTAAATTAATTCATTTACAGGAATAAACTTCACGAAAGCTAAAGGAATCTTCGTTGGTATTGAAAACTTAAATAAATAAAGAAAAATTTTATCCTGTTAAAATAGAACTGATAAAATAGGTTGAGTGCAGCCAGAGATAAAGACGAGAAACGGACGAAAATAATTTCAACCAACTTGTTATAAATTACTGAAGAAAGTCGCCACCTGAGGCTCGGCGAAGCAAGGTAATGAATTATCTGCTGTTACCCTCAACCAGGAACTGTTGAAGAGAACGAAGAGAAAACTAAAATGTGGAAACAGTCCAAGAGAAATTCTGAAAACACACACACGTAAAGACGCACGGAGAGTGTGTATTGGTCCCCACGGGCAGCGGCTGCATTATATAGTTGAGAAAAAAAGGGAAATAGTACAAAGACCTGCCGATAAAGTCTGTCTGTCTGTAAGAATAATAAAGGCTTTGTTTTGGACTGTGTCGAGCTGACTAAGAGCGGCCTCGTCGCCCCAGCCGGAGCCGCCAGCTGTGACCAACTGGTCCTTCCTAAAATAATGTTTGGACAAATTATAGTGAAGACCAAACCTTTTGTAGAGTTCCTTTCTTTATTCCAAATTGTCTCTGTCTGTCTGTCTGTGCGTGAGCTTGTGTGTGCACGTGAGCGTAACTGTAAATGCACGTCAGAAATTCCAGGAATGTCTGGGGTGTTTGTGGAAATAAATGCCGCTGTGGTCAGTGTCACACCAGGCACCGAGGCGCGCGCCGCACACTGGCAGTCTCCAATCCTTAATGTAATTTCTGTCTGGATGCAGCACCAGTCCTTGATGCAGCACCAGTCCTTGATGCAGCACCAGTCCGTGATGCAGCACCAGTCCGTGATGCAGCACCAGTCCTTGATGCAGCACCAGTCCGTGATGCAGCACCAGTCCGTGATGCAGCACCAGTCCGTGATGCAGCACCAGTCCGTGATGCAGCACCAGTCCTTGATGCAGCACCAGTCCTTGATGCAGCACCAGTCCAATTGTCCGTGCAGCACCAGTCCGCAGCACCGATCAGATGCAGCACCAGTCCTTGATGCAGCACCAGTCCGCAGCACCAGTCCTTGATGCAGCACCAGTCCGTGATGCAGCACCAGTCCTTGATGCAGCACCAGTCCTTGATGCAGCACCAGTCCTTGATGCAGCACCAGTCCTTGATGCAGCACCAGTCCATGATGCAGCACCAGTCCTTGATGCTGCACCAGTCCTTGATGCGGCACCAGTCCTTGATGCAGCACCAGTCCTTGATGCTGCACCAGTCCGTGATGCTGCACCAGTCCTTGATGCAGCACCAGTCCTTGATGCAGCACCAGTCCGTGATGCAGCACCAGTCCTTGATGCAGCACCAGTCCGTGATGCAGCACCAGTCCTTGATGCAGCACCAGTCCGTGATGCTGCACCAGTCCTTGATGCTGCCTCAGTCCTTGATGCAGCACCAGTCCTTGATGCAGCACCAGTCCTTGATGCAGCACCAGTCCGTGATGCAGCACCAGTCCTTGATGCAGCACCAGTCCTTGATGCAGCACCAGTCCTTGATGCTGCACCAGTCCTTGATGCTGCACCAGTCCTTGATGCAGCACCAGTCCTTGATGCTGCACCAGTCCGTGATGCAGCACCAGTCCTTGATGCAGCACCAGTCCTTGATGCAGCACCAATCCTTGATGCAGCACCAGTCCGTGATGCAGCACCAGTCCTTGATGCTGCACCAGTCCTTGATGCTGCACCAGTCCGTGATGCAGCACAAGTCCTTGATGCTGCACCAGTCCTTGATGCAGCACCAGTCCTTGATGCAGCACCAGTCCTTGATGCAGCACCAGTCCTTGATGCAGCACCAGTCCTTGATGCAGCACCAATCCTTGATGCAGCACCAGTCCGTGATGCAGCACCAGTCCTTGATGCAGCACCAGTCCTTGATGCAGCACCAGTCCTTGATGCAGCACCAGTCCTTGATGCAGCACCAGTCCCATGTGACTACACACAACCTGGGTGACAATAAAAAAACAACAAAAAGAAAGGCAAGAGGAAGACAAAGAGAGAAGGAAGATCTTCTGAACAATGTAATACACTAGTTTCTTCTGAGGGAATAAAAGTAACAAAAGTAGTTTAAGTAGCGGAGTGAAGTTCATAAGATAGTTAAGTGAGGGAGAGAGTGAGGCACCGTACACTGGCGTATCTCAGTGCTTCCTGGTGTGGGGGAGGAACGGTCCACTGCTCCCACCAAGACGCAGGAACATATATCATCATAGGCTTTGTCTCTCGGCTGTCGGGGAACATGGGTCATGAACTCTCCTTTGTGGTTTCCACGGGGACGCACTTCTAGACTAAATTAAATTTGCATATATGAATAAACTATATTAACGGGGTTCACGCATGATGTTTTGGACCGTGAAGAGGGTTTGGTTCAGGACCTTCCATAGCTGGGAAAACCACCCCAAAGGCGCCTCCACACACACACACACACACACACACACACACACGGCAGTACTTACACTGTTCTCTCTCAACCATCCAAACATGGGCGAATTTCGTATAAGAATCTGTTTGTGTCGTTGACCCTGGGAGGCACCAACACCTCACACGGACCTGTTCCTAACTGTCCACCTGTACGGCCTCACCACCTTTGTGTTTGTAAAATAAAATAATCCTTAACTAAAACTCACAAAATAATGATCAATGAAAAAGTACTCTGGAAAAATATAGCACAGTGCCATATTCTCTTAGTAACAACATATTGTAATATTTAACATATATTGTGTTGCAAAATCCCCGTAAAAGCTGCCTATGTTGGAAATGCGACCCATCAACAATATTACTTTGGCCCTTTGATGATTATATGCAACGTTTTAACTAAAATTAGCAACACTATTAGTTAGGGAAGTGTCCATTACTCCCCAATACTGTGGTAATTCTGTGCTGGTCAGTAAATAACAAAGTCATACCTGATAGAACACTATGACTGTATGACAATTATAATTTGATGGTGTATTTTTCCCTTCACAGTACCAGTGAGACGTAAAATACCTGCTGTGTTGGTACTAATTGTATACAGAAGACATTATAGTTATTTTCTTATTGTGGTTTACTGTGGACTGATGTGTTCATATTAAGCAAGTATTGTGCCCAGACGCGACAAAAAACAGGTGTCACGTCACTCTACTCGTGTCACACTTGGGTGCTTGGAATACCTTTAATCGACTGTGTTTCCTCTTCCCGCAGGTGTCGTGGTACAGGAGGAAAGGCGACGAGATCCACCTCATCACCTTTGGCTTCCAGACTTACCATAATGATGACAG